ATAGTACCAATCAATGATGTGATCAATTGAAACATAGCATGTTGTTAAAAAAAAGAATCCTTAATTGGTTCTTATGCTAGGATTCTGGCTTCATGGTGTCTGTGAACCCTCTAAAATTTAAGCATAAATTATTATGTGTATAAACTTTGGTGGAGGCAATGGAATGTAACTTGTTAACAAATTTCAAAGGGGGTCTGTGATTAAATAAGAGGCTGAGAACTAGTCATTTTCTTAATTGGTATGTGAAAATACATTCTAGCTGTACCTGCCTTTTAAAATGTGCAATGATGACTAAAAACATGTTTCCTTCCCCCTCAGCTTTCTAAATACTACCTCAAGGTTTTCAGGACACGAACACTCATTTACTGCATCTGACACACCATTCTTAATATTTATCAGAGGAGATTCAAATTAAAATTTAAATATACTCTGACAATCATTCCTTCAGCTTGGGGTATGCTTGACCATTTCTGTGAAAGAGGCTAAAAGTTGTTTTTTAAAATATAGTATCATTGTTTTTGTAAGTATGCACTGTCCTCACTGTGGGGCTTGAACTCACGAACCCGAGATCATGAGTCACAGGCTCTAACTACCGAGTCAGTCAGGCATCCCTAGGATAAAAGTTATTTGGAGCTTTTGATGATGGGATCCTCTGTCACCAATTTACAATGTAAAAGTTAACCAAAAAAATTAAACACTTGGGTGGTAAAGGATGTTGGCATATGTCCAAAATCACAGAATTGCACGCGTGAAATATATACAGTTCTTTGTATATCAATTATACCTCAACAAGACTATTTTTCTATAAAAACGAACCCAAACAGAAGAAACAAAATGCTGATGGAAAACAGATCAGATAACTAAAAACACGGCTTTACTGATTTAAATTATGTAACCCAGAACCACGGGCTCTGAAAGCAAAAACAAAACACCAAACAAAACTTGGGTGTTAAAACAGCAAGGAAATAAGTCAAAAATAAAATGTATAAAGAACATTCCTGAAATGACGGTGCCAATGACTCATAAATGAACATTTCAGTTATACCATACGTGCTCATGGAAACACTACATCTGAATGAGTTTATTCTTAAACGTTAGGTTTCCCGAGTCTCCCCGGGACAGAGAGAGCCTGTAATTGTGTAGGTCCCTGGCGTGTGTCATGACATAATTGGTCATATGTGGCCCCAGATATTCAAAGTGTGAGTGAACTCGGCTTCTCTTCTTGGATAATAGGAGGAAGCAGAGAAAATTCACACCAACTTTCCTGTCTTTCTAGAACAGGGGTTTTCAAACTTGGCAACTTTAAATAATCAATGGCAGAGCTTTGAAAGATCTTGATGCTTAGGCCACAGCCGGACCAATTAAATCAGAATATGGGGTGGGGGGCCAGGCACCGGGATTTTATAAAGTGTCCTGTTAGGCGCCAGTGTGCAGTTAAAGCTGAGAACTGTGACTCTAGCAAAACATAATTATTTTAAGACCAAATTGAGGCTGGGCTCTGAGGTTGTTTCAGAATGTTTTAAAGGCTGCCAAAATGTCATTGTTTGGATCACCAGCATTCAGGCCATTTACAGATGACCATGGATAACTCTCTGTAATAGTCATTAAAAAATAAAAGGTGTGTTGGGGGTGGGGGAGGCGCGCCTGGGTGGCTCAGTCGGTTAAGCATCTGACTCTTGATCTCAGGTCTTGATCTCGGGGTCGTGAGTTCAAGCCCCACATTAGGCTCCATCCTGGGTGTGGAGCCTACTTAAAATAAATGAACAAACAAACAAATAAATAGTAAAATAAAATAAAAGGGGACTAAATGCAACTGGGTCCTGGAACAGAAAGAAAAAAGGGCATTGGTGCAAACTGGTAAAATTTAAATGAAGTCTACAGTTTAGTACCAATAACAATAGTATACTAGCACCAATGGTAATCTCTTCGTTTTGAGAAATGTAACACAGTTGGTAAGCTATTCACATTTGGGGAAGCTGGGTGAAGGGTATACGGGAACTCTGTGCTCACTTTGCCAACTCTTGTGAGCCTAATTCCTTCAAAATAAGAAAGTTAGAGTTGGATTAGAAGAGGACAAGGCGAAGCTAGTACTAACACTGCACAAGTGCGGATTAGCTGACAATATTAAATATCTGTTGGCACAAAGTCGTGCCCTGTGGACTTAGGCACCTCATTAAAGGATACAACTTATGGTGTGAGAAAAGCTTAGAGAAACTTCCAATCTCCTGTCTTCATTTTGCTTTTATGTAGCTCTTCTCCAGCCCCATGCAGATCCTACAAAATGTCATCAACGGCAGTTAATATTAAAGGGCTCAGGGGCAACGTATGACCTACGAGTCGTATATTCTACCGTAAGGAATCCTAATAGGGCCCGTGGTACCTTGCACTCAGTACAGGACTGTATGGCCCATAAGCACTTTCCAAATGTTAGTCTTGCTGGGTTTGCATTAGGAAATATGCAAACCCATGGAGTATACCCTGGGCTGTAATAAAAGATAAAACTTCAATTTCATTTTGTTATAAGAGACACGGTGTGCACCTGCATAAATCTTTCTCACGCACACACACACACGCGTGTGCACACACACACACACACACACTCCACATCAGAGTACACACCCACAATTCAGACACACACTTTATTAAAGAGCCTGTGTTAGTCTGGAAGCGCCCAGAGTGAAGCATATGACCTCATATGACCACCAACGAGGCCGGGTCTCAGCCACAGGCGCTACGTTCTGGTGGGAGCTGACCTCTTTCCTACCAGGAAAAAGGACAAAAGTTCCGATAATGAATGAGGACATCAGCCGCCATCTGTTGGCCCCAGGTGTTGCCAGGCCACAGCTGACTATGCCCTGAGTCATGGCTATTCTTTTGTTTCTGTCTCCTTGTCCCGGTCCCTCGGGGGCCCCTGTTCTTGATTTTCATGGGGCCCCCAGCACTGGCCAACTCCCAGTGAGTCAGGCCCACCTGGCAGCCGCGGTCCTCGCCCACTGAGCTCCTGCCAGCTGCCTCCCACTCCTACACTCGCTGGATGGGCCCTCCTACCCGGCCTCGGGTGAAGGGGATGGTGACAGCTACGCTCTGCCTTGCCCATGCCAGAGGATGGCTCACATCCTCCCCAGGACTGCCTCCGATGCCATCACTCAAGGGGAGCAGGACGCTTTCTGCCAGCCTGGCCTCACACTTATACACGCAGGGGCACACTCACGCTTTCCTGGCCAGCCCAGAGAACCAGGAACGCGAAGTCCCACAACAGACGGGCCGTTTGATGGGCCAAGTGCACTGCCCTGTTGGCTCCCACTGTTCTTTCGGCACCGCGCGGCTTCGTGCTGTCCTCTCTCTCGGGAGGAGGGTGACTTTCTACCTTCCTTCCAGCCCGTGCTGTTCAGGCAGTGATGTGCAACATTCAACAGGAGTATTTCCTCCTCGTTGGCCTGGCACGACATACTCATTCTATGATTCTTGTTTATTCAAAAGGGAAGTCTAATTGGGACTCATGGAGAGTTCACGGATGTTTTAACAAGAGTAAACATACTTGGGCGACGTGAACAATGGGATATGATTAATTGGAACTTCTGGTTTCCTTCTAATTAGTGAAATGCATGAAAAGCAATTTAGAGGGTTTCACAGTGATTCTCAGGAAAAGGGGCAGAAAACATCTGCATTTGTGAAAGTGGACGCTCTCGGTGTGTATTTGTTTTAAAGGATTTGTTTTCTTACCGGGCTGGCTCCTTCCCACCAGAGCCCTCCAGCTCCCAGCCGTGCTTACTGGTCCTACTTCCAGGCCCAGTGATCATTCTAGACCAGGACTAACACTCCGGCTTTCCTTCCTGCTCAGTTCCCTACGGGTTCCAGGAGACAGGCTGACCTGGCTCCGCCCGGCTTTCCTGAGGACCGTGTGGCTCTGCTCCCCACGCCTGCAACCTGCTCACACCTCTGCCTGAAATGCTGCCAGTGTGGAAGGCAAATGTTCCAGTTCAGTCCAAGATGGTCCCAGTTTATGTTCCCTTTGACTCACGCTGTCCGATTCAGGTAATAAATCAGATGGCCAGCTCCTGAGGCTAAATGTACCCATGTGCAGGTACAGCCGATGACCTATGCTCATCCCAATGTGGACGCCTCCTGTCCCGGCTTCTGAACTTGTCTGGCCTTGATGGCACCATCTTGATTGGTGGGGCCTGGCCTTCCCTGTACTATCTTGTCCAGTGACTCACCTAACCCTTATCTGCCAGTATTCTAGGAAATCATCTCTGTAATTCCAAATATTCGGAGGAGAGAGAGAGAGAGAGAGAGAGAGAGAGAGAGTGTTTGTGTGTGTGTGTGTGTGTGTGTGTGTGTGTGTACACAAAGGGGAAGAAGATCATGAACCATTTCCTTTTTTGCATCTTCTCCAGGAATCTGTGCCGGTACTCTCTTTTGCAAAGAGTACATTAAGAAGGAAATTGAAATTTTAGTAAAGATATTTCTTACTTGTGTTGCAAAATGCCACTTTACAGAGCCAAATTGAAAACCACTGAAAACAAATGTACTTCTCACCAGAGGGATGATATGAATTTTCGATTTTTATATTCGATTTTTATATTCGACTTCAGCCGAGACAGTGAAATTGCCAGATACTTTTCATTTGAATTTATCATCAAATTCATTTCCTGTTATTGTTACTCTAACACTGGAGAGAAAATATTTAATTTCCAGAAGTTTTCATTTAACTTTAATAGGAAACAAACCCATTCGAATCCCCTTTAGAAAAAATACACAATTCAGTTCTGAACACGAACCTGCTTGACTGTGAGAACTAGTTTACCTAATAATTTTATATTAGCATCACCCTAATTATATCCTTTGGCCGTTCCAGGCATGATCACAAGGTCTTTGAAATTTGGATGATGAACTTGGACTGACCCCATACCGCGGGACCCAAGTGGCCTGCAAGCAGATTCCGCTGTTGACAGCTGGGACTTTCCCTGTAGGATCCGAGGGCTCGGGGTAGCACTTACGTCTCATCTGTGAAGGCTATTCCGAAGTATTCCTTTTCCTTCAGGTTGAAGTGTGATGCCACGAGGTCCAGCAGCTCCTTGGCCAAAAGCTTGGGCTGGAGGGAGAATGAGATGGAAAAGGGACGAGTGAGTAGAGGTGACTCATCCTCAGACACACAATCTCAGGTTGATGTAATTTTTTAAATGGAATGTCTCAAAGCTCAAGGACATCAATGCAAGTGATTTTTTTAATGTTTTATTTATTTTTGAGAGAGAGAGACAGAGAGAGACAGAACATGGGAAGGGGCAGAGGGAGAAGGAGACTGAACCTGAAGCAGGCTCCAGGCTCCAAGCTGTCAGCACAGAGCTGGGTGCAGGGCTCAAACTCACAGATAGTGAGATCATGACCTGAGCCGAAGTTGGATGCTCAACCAACTGAGCCACCCAGGCGCCTCTATGCTCCACGATTTTATTTATTTTTTATTAAAAAATTTTTTTTAAATGTTTATTCATTTTTGAGAGACAGAGAGAGACAGAGCATGAGCAGGGAAGGGGCAGAGAGAGAGGGAGACCCAGAATCCAAAGCAGGCTCCAGGCTCTGAGCTGTCTGCACAGAGCCCAACGTGGGTCTCGAACTCGTGGACTGCGAGATCATGACCTGAGCTGAAGTCGGATGCTCAACCGACTGAGCCACCCAGGCGCCCCTATGATCCAGTCTTAAATCCAAACAATAAAAGTACCTCCCTCCAGGAATGTTAAAATTGAGGTCAAAGAACCTGGGGAGTAGAACTGAAGAAAAATCACAAACTCACCCTCCAGCTGCCTTTCCAAAGGAGAAGTCTTTAGATGAGAGTGTTTTTTATCATAAACTCTTTTTTAAACATCTCTGTCAACTGGGGATCCTGGGTGATTCAGTCGATTAAGCACCGACTCTTGGTTTCAGTTCAGGTCATGACCTCACAGTTTCTGAGTTCGAGCTTTGCATCTGGCTCTGCGCTGACAGCACGGAGCCTGCTTGGGGTTCTCTCTCCCCCCCTCTCTGCCCCTTCCCCTGCTTGGTACCTCTCTCTCAAATAAATAAACATTTTAACAAGTTTAAAAAAACAAATAAACATCTCTGCCAATCCAAAAGAGCATGCCAGAACTTTTGGCATGAAAATACTGTAGACGCTGTATGGTCAATACATCGTTCCCCTTGGTCAACTGTGGTCGAGATGACCTCAGAGTGCCAGGCTGTGAGGTGGGGGCAGAGGAGGGAAAGGCCGTCTGAAGGAGACATGTGGCTAATGGGAGTAGTTATTTCTAAATCAGCTTCCAGATCAGGTATCTGCAAAGCCATGGTCCTTCTGACAATTACTGCACTCCAACCATACATGCTGGGTCTCCAATCAGAGTGAAACCAAAGATTCCAGAAGAGAAAACCTTGTGTTTTTTATTTTGTGTGTATACATGTGTGGGCATTTGTGCCCATCGATACACCTTCCCAAGTATATTTCCCACTCTACTGGTTACTCGGCTGAGTTTCTCTGGTAGGAGAGTGCACAAGGGACATGTCAATCAAGAGTCACATGACAGTTTCAGCTCTTATTTCACTTTTTAAAGAAAGTTTATTTTGAAAGAGAGAGGGAGAAGGGGGAGGGTGGGGCAGAGAGAGAATGACAGAGAGAATCCCAAGCAGGCTGCATCAGCGCAGAGCCTGACATGGACCCTAATCCCACAAACAGCGAGATCATGACCTGAGCCAAAATCAAGAGTCGGACACCTAACCGACTGAGCCACCCAAGTGCCTTCTTGTTTCACTTTTTGAGTGTTGCTATGAACTGTACCGAATTCATATGTGGAAGTTCTAACTCCCACTGTGGTGGTATTTGGGGGTGGCCCCTCTGGGAGGGTAACTAGGGTTAGATGAAGTCATGAGGGTGGGACGGTCATGAATGGGATCAGAGACCTCATGAGAAGAGACATCAGAGAGATTGCTCTCGCTCTTCCTCCCCACCACGTGAGGACACAGGGCCAAGGTGGCCAAGGCGGCTGTCTACAAGCCACGAAGAGAGCCCTCATGAGAACTCAACCAGGTTGGCACCCTGGTCTCAAACTTCCAGCCTCCAGAGTGTGAGAAAATAAATTTCTGTTGTTTAAGCTCCCCCGGTCTGTGGTGTTTTGTTACGGCAGCCCAAACTGACGAATACAGGTACACTTCCTTTAATTCGGCAAACGTACTGACCATGTCACGTGAGCCGGGCACTAACCAATCCTGCAGGGCACAGAGAAATGAGTAGCATGCAGCACCTGCCGATAAGGAGTGCTTACCAGGGGCACAGAGTATGAGCTGGTGTGCATTTCAAAGAGCCAAAGCAGATGGTTTCCCTTTGCTGTCTCCCTCCTGGGCTCACAGGGTGGCAGCCTGTGGGCCTCAGTGACCATCAATTTACCGACAAAAGCGCCTGGGAATGACAGGGCTCGTGAAGGTACAGGCTGTTGCCAGCACCAGGGGGTCCCTGGCCACCCAGATACAGAGCATGTGATGCACAGGCCATGCCTGAATCTGTAAGATACTACGGCAGATTTTTTAATTGCTGGGCACCATACTTTATCTGTCCAAACGACTGCCATTCCTTTCAAAGCCGTCACGGGATTTCTATGACGCCTGCTAATGCTCACAACATTTTTGATAATCTTTCGGGATGCCTGTGAAGCCCATGTCACATATGGAAAAGCATCCTGACTGGTGAGAAATCTCTTTGCACTCAGAATGGATCCGAGTTTTTTCTAAGTGGCAAAAGTCACTTAAAGTCAATTGTTGTAAGTGGGACAGAGGTGGGGGAGGTGAGCACGCTGAGTCACACTGGTCTTACAATATGGGGTGATTACTGTGGGTTCTTGGGGGTTATGGGGAGGTTTCTGGCCCAAACTTGGAAATGACAGGAGTAGTAGTTCCTTCCCTTTGAGAGTTAAACGTTAAAGCCAACATCTCAACGGAATTGATCAGAGACACGGAAACTGACCCAGGAAGCGAAAGAATTACTCTCAGGGCTGGTATAGTTTTTTCTAGAACATGATTAAGCGTAGTAATCGTTCTATGGAAGGGGCGGGGTGAGTGGAAGGTGTGTGTGGGGAGGGGAATGCAGGGGGAAGGAAACGTGGTCTTAGCCAACAGGCCTTGAATATTGAGGCCCCGGAAGTAAGGCCGTTTACATGGTGGACGTGGAGGCCTGGAGTTACTCTAGCTGACCATATGAAATGCTCATCCATGTAACTCTCCTTCTAACGCCTCTCCTTCTGAAGAATTCACTGAGGCAATGCTGAGTCCTAGATATGGTGCTGAGTAACTCCCCCACATGACCACCTTACCATCTAGCATAAGAGTCTATCATTCCTTTTGCCAATGGAGATCCTGAGACTTGGAGAGATCAGGCAGGCTGTCCTGGGTCTCACAGCAAAGCCAGGATTCCAGACAAAGTCAGGCCAGACTCAAGGGCCACGTGCATCACGTCTCTGCCATCTTGCCTCTGCTGACTCAGTTCTTGGGTGAGAAGTCAAAGGCCCCTGTGCCCTGAGGGCCCTGTGTGGGTGAGGGTGATATCACTCACCTGAAGCCAGTACACTCACACTATGGATTTACACGTCGGTACTTTGAACCTGGGTAACGTGAATCTTCCCCCGAGGATGAACCATCATGTTTCTGAGTCGGCAGAGCTTAAGAACGGACTTGACATGCTGAAGAAATCACCAGAGTAATGGATGCCATTCTAGGAGCCTCGTGACGGACTTGTGGCTGCTCTGTGGTGACATAGCCCTGTGATTTACCCTGTAACCACAACCCTGTCCGCAGTAAGAAAACGAATTTTCTCGGCGAGTCGTAAACTGAAGGCAACCACCAGGCTCTGAGCTCTAGCTGCACCGCCAGGATAACCTCTGTCGCCTCCAACTACCTCTTTTAAAGAACCGTATGCATATCTTGCTTAAAAAGTGAAAAGGGTGAGTCCCGTTACTTTTATACAAAGGCTATCAGAGGTCCTATGTGCCATGCTCCGTGAAAAGCCTAAATTTATTAGCCACAGTTTACGAAGAGGGAAATAAAGGTACTGAAGGGGAAGATAACAGATCCCAGAAGATGCGGAGGGGACAGCTCCTGAATCTGAGGCTCCTGTGGAAGCCACACTCTCTTCCTCCGCTGTCACGGTGACCGGCGACACGGCCGCGGGAAGGTGCCGCATCGGTGAGAAGGAAGACTCCGGCCCCACGGAGTAGTAGATGGATGCGTAGTGTGAGCGGGAAACAAACCGCACCGTTAAGCCCCTGTGACGTCTGGGGCTGTGTGTCATCCCAGCATAACCCGGCCTACCCTGATTGATTCAGGCAGCGTATCAATTACTCTCTAATTCTCTGTATGGTTGGTTTAAAAACCACTTAAGGCTTCAGCTCTGTGATTTCCTGATCTTGCAACCTGAGACAATATCCCACCTCGACACCATGATGATTAATGTGCTACATGGTTCCGAACATTTCTTAAACTCGTTTAGAGAAAGTTGCTCGGTAAGCACAAAGCTTTGGGCCATGATGTACTTGGAAGGGATGTTTACAGAAGCCTTGCTGATTGCACTTTGCTGGTTACTTGTGCTGTAAACATTCATGGGGCTTTGCAGGGGCCAGGCAGGGAGCGAAGACAGAAAGGCAGCCGGTGGCCCAGTCAAGCCCTACAGGACATACCGGGCAAGCTGTGTGCATGTCAGGTCAGAAGCCAGCCGCTCTGGGTCACTGGGGTGTCCTGGCCTGATGAGGTCAGTGCATTGAAGTCTGGCTTCCTCCCAGTCTGTAATTAACTATGCTCACTCGAGAGCTTCCCCCTTTGCATTTTCTTTTTTTCCTCAGGTTCTTTTTTCATTTGTCCTTCTATGTTTTTATTCCTCCTTATGCATGACAAATGGAACCTCTTTGTAAATGTCCCTCTCAAAATGTGCTGCCTGATGGAGCTGCTCATGATGTTAGCAAGATGGCCTTTCTGGGGCTTAGAAGCCTGGGTTTCGGTCACATTCTTCAGGGGAAAGGGCAGGGTAGCTCTTTGGCATTGTGGTCTCACTCTGCCACCCCGATCTGAGTTCCGCAGGGCTCTGGA